CAGAGCAGTCTGAGGGCAACAGAAGGGTCTGGCTTCTTCTGTGGGTGACTGCTGCAGTGGGACACAGAGAGAGCTGTGCCAAAAAAATGGGGAAGCACCAACCGTGAGCTCGACCGATTCCCCTTTGCTGTCCTTCAGACGCCCCCCGGCTTGTGTCACAGGGCTTGTCCTCTGCCCTTCGCAGCAAGGGGCACTAGCATAGCGGGAGCAGGGAGGAAGGAAGCGCAGCTGAACAATGAGCTCCAGGAAGCAGCGGCTGATGACTCGGCCCGAAAACGAGGACCTGACTCAGCAGCACAATCAGCAAACATTGACTCAAGTCGAAGCTCCTGCGAGCCAAGTCACTGGCCTCCTGGGAGCTGCCAGCCCGCAGTTCCCGCACCGCTGGTCTGCAGTGCCCTCCTACCGGAGGCCAGGGCAGAGCTGCAGTGCTTGGGACACAGGCTGTGGTCAACAGGCAAGCTCAGCCACGATGTGTGAGCTCTGTCCTCCTCATGCGAGACATGTCTCACATCCAGCACATGAGCAAACGTGGGCAAATCCCAGTTGCAAACACATCAGAGCCACACAGGAGGCGCACACACAGCCATCATACATCATGGATGCGACGCCAGTCCTGCCTCTGACCCCTTTGCCAGGAGAAGAGGAAAACCCCATTCCAAGGCACCAGGCTTGGAGCAGGGGGCCTCCAGAGCTCCCTCTTGGCCTCTGCCACTTTCTGATCCAACGGGTGGGTTGCGACACAAGCGCAGCATGCCTGTCTCCACACCAACACATGCTCTGATGTGGGGGCAATGCACAGCTTGCTGCTGGATTCAACCCTGTTGCCTACCGTTTCCTTTCTGGTGGACCAAACCTAAAGATCTACCTGACATGACCCACTAGGTCAATGACACTTCTTCCCTATCTTCTTGTGCTTGCTCCATGCTCACTTACTAAGCGATCTGGTGGTCCTGGGATCATAGGTGGCCTCATGAAACAAACAGATGATCATTCTGATTTTTATTGACCGCCTAATATGTTATCCCATTACAACCAGGTCACCAGCTGTGCCTGCGGGCTGTGACATTGAGCTGTGTGCTGTACCCACCCGTGATGAAGCTTGGGTTTCTCCATGGATGGGGTTAGCATCCTGTGTGCACGCAGCGCAGGGCAGAGGAGCAGCTCTGCAGGGATGAGACAGTGGCGTGTGGAGTGTGGGCCTGGGGAGCTGGGGGAGAAGACATGGAGGAGGAAGGTGGCTTACATCACTCAGCTGCTGCTGCTTTCAGCTGAAGGTCTGTGCTATGCCCAGCTGCTGCAGCGCATGAGTATGCACCCTCCAACAGCTTGGCTGGAAGGAAAAAAGAGCCAAGCCCACGTGCTGCCAGCCAGCCCCCTCTCTCTCCTCTCCAAGGTAGCTTACAAAAGCCATTTGCTATATTAATGCACAGTTGTCCCCCCTAAAACCTTTCCCACTCCCCCAGCCCAAAAGGGCCATGCTGGTTTTAGGAGCACAGCAGTGCCTGGGGAAGCCCAGCCGCATGTCCCCGGTGGCTCCTGCCCACCGCAGAGGGAAGCTGGCTCCGGCACTGCTCAAGCGGGTGACGTCGCAGCCCTTGCTGTGATTTACAGCAGCTGTGTCCCGCTCAGTGGGAGCAGAGCCCATCCTGGCACTGCGGATGTTCAAATGCCCGCAGCTGGGCCCCTGAATTGTTTAGCTCCAAAAGGCAGCAATGGTGTTTTTCTATTCAGTGCATTTTCCCAGTGGATTCATCTAACCAATTCCACTACTTTCCCAGCCTGATACAAGGATTTGCACTGAGGAAGGAAGTCTCTTTCCCAGCGAGAATAATCAAATATCTCACAGGCGAAGGAATGAAACAACCACTCAAACATCGCCCAGTCCAGAGCATCGCAGTTATTCCAAGTGACCAGGGAGATGCCTCCCCTGCTTGTTTCAGCCACCTTCCCATCGCCCATTTTAAGGGCTTCGGTGCAAGATGTCAGACCACAGCGTAGACATGACAGCCTTGATTTTGCAGGGCATTACTGCAACAACAGCCAAGTCAAGTAACCATCATGACTGCTGCCATGCTGAAAGGCAAAGTTGCAAGCTACCCAGCATTTGTTTTACTCATTTTGAGTATAGGGGGAAACACAGACAGCAAGGCAGCATGTGAAAAGCAACTGTTCACCGCCCGACAGAACAATTCACCCAGGTCACTGAACAGAAACTATAACTCTCCAAAACACAGCAGAGATCAGCTCAGGACTGGGTTTCGCTCTTATAGCTCATTAACAGTGGGACAGAAGTGTAGGAATTTGCACTTCAGTCACTCATGCCAAAATTCATCACATGCCTAAGACTACATTTCTGTTCTGGGCAGGAAAATGTCTCAGGCTGATGCTTTCCCCATGGAGAATTTCTTCACCACCTTCAGATATGAAATGTGTCTCCACTAGTCCCCAGTGTTGACAGATATATGGCTCAAATACAACACTGATTAAAACAGAGCAGATAGCAGTGGGTGACCAGGTCCTAAGCAGCTAGTTCCTTACAGTGGGATCGAAAGAGTAAGAGGCAGAGCAGAAGAAGACAGCTCTACAGAGAAGTGGATTCAACAGACCTGCCAACAAATCACAACCGCAGTTAGAGGCTGCAACAGAAAATCTAGGGCAGTAAATATATGAAATGAAAGCACCTTGAACATTGATCAAACGTACAAGAAAGCATGAGGGAGACAGGGAAATAACAGCTACTTTAATTCAGGATCCTACCCGCCAGTGCAATAAATATTAATAGAATAAGCTGGAGAAAGGAAAAAGAAATAGCAAAACCTTGCTTCCTTGGAAAAGCATTAGCAAAACCCTTGAGACTGATTTCCCACCGAATGAAATTTGATGGAGTAAAGCGATCAAGGGTTGAGAAACTGAACCTAATTTAAGAGGGGTTGTATGCAAGACAACTTGGTTTCCAAGGAACTGATAATCCAAGCTTCTGAGTTCACTTCATGACCAAGAATGAAGGTCTGAATTACAACACCCAGCCTGTGCTGTCTGAACACCCACTGTCCAGAGGGTCTCTCCTGCCCCTGAAGTACCAATAAAACCTGTTTCTAACCCTGAGTCTCTGTTGGCCAACAAAACCTGGACCTTCCCACAGAAGTGACTTCCACTCCATACAGCTGAGCCACATTCAGTTGTTGTGCACCGCTGCTGATGTCCCGTCTCACAGCCACCAGCTCCGGGGCCAAAAGCTGCATCTTACATTGGTCTGAGAAGAAATACAACAGCTGCATGGGCCATGGGAAACTTCCCATTAGCTCCTCTGGCAGGATGGGTTCAATTTAGTTTCCCGTCCTATTGCTACCACGAGCCGCAGTCTGTTCTGCTAAAACCCATATAATGACAGGCTTACTTGCCTGCGAACTTACTTATTTTCCTACATAGCCTAGTTTTTCACACTGTCCTAGTTCAGGAGGAGATCCTCCTTCTGAATGTCTGGTATTAGGGCTTTTTATCCTGCTTGCTCTTAACCCACCAGCACTTATGAATGTAGCATCTTGGCCTGGATACAACTATACGCACATACTCTGAAGAAAATAATTGCCCCTGTTACATAAGCCTAAGGCCTACAGTCTTTCCATTTTTGTCAGCTGTTTTTTGTCAAATTTGTGCTAGGGGACACAGCAGAATTTGGTCTGACGGCAGGCGTTCAAAACGGCCCCAGATGCCTTTGTCAGAGAGCACTTGCAGCTCTATTAGCTGCAGGTTACATGTGGAGAAGAGCCATGCTGTTGGAGTCAGTGGGGGTCTTGCACACAAAAGAGCTTTTTTTGTCCCAGAAAGCCCATAATCAATAACGATAGCAACAACTATAACAATCTGTGTGTGGTATTAAACATCTGTCAGGTTTTAGGCCAGTCCAGCATCACTACAAAACTAAAGCAGAAAGCTGGACTTTTCAGGACTCCTCTTAACTGTGTGGATTAAATAACAGGTAAGCCCCTTCCAGAGAACGCGGTGCAGCCTTGCCCCCAGCCCCAGGGACCGTACAGCTTGCAGAGCCAGAGGCAGACCGTTAGCCAGGATGCAAGGAGGGGGAGCCTGGGGCTCCGCTCTGCTCTGGCCCAAGCCCGTTTCCACTCCAGGTGGGCAGCGAACCCTGCCCTGTCGGCTGAGCACAGCAATATTGCACCCTTGACGGCCCTTTTCCTGCTGCTGTTCCTTCATCATTTCTTCTTCCTCTCCTTCTTTCCGCATGTTCCTCCAGCTGCCTGCTCTTTACAAACCCTTATTCTTTTCCCTTCCCCCCTCCCCATTTTTTGCCTTCACCAGCTATACTCCCTCCCTTTTCTGTTTTCCTTCCTCCATTCCTCCTCAGTCACTCCATTCTCACCTCTCCTGTGCACAAACCATATCCCGAAGCCATTCTCCTTCCTCCTCTTCTCTTCTTTCCCAGGTCTCCTCATCTCTGGCAAACATCCCTCCCCTCTCTTCTCTCTCCCCCAGGTTCTCGCTAACTCTCTTATTACTGCTCCCCCCTAATCCATTTTGCTCAGGAAGAAAAGCTCGCTGTCACCCCTGAAAATCTGCCCGCGTTGACTGCAGAGGGGCCTATGTGAGCGGTGAAGCTGGAAGATTTCTGCTTATTTTTATGGTCGGTGGTGCGAGCAGCGTGGGACTCCCTATTACTCCCACTGCCGTCAGTAACGTTGTAAGGAATGGGTTCAGTGTGGTGCTTCAGGCAATTTTTTACTCCCAGAGAAAGCAGCTATTGCTTGTTACCTTCAGATTCCCAAGCGTTGGTAAATCACCAACGTGAAGAAATTTCTGTGGGGTCTTCCATTGCCAGAATGGAAACTCATCTCTCCGTATCTTTGGTGCTTCTGCAGCGAGCCCGAAAACGAAGCCACTTTGTCACTTCACCGACCGCCCCATCCACCCGCTGCATTGTCAAAGGAAAGCCGAGAAGGCTTTGCTGCACCACACTCTGTAAAGAGAGCTAATCAAAGCAGCGTTTTAATTGCTGGAGTAATGATTTAGATGTACAAAAATTCAGGCTAAATTTGCATGACTAATTAAATAATTAAACACAGCCTGACAACTAAGGAACACAATTGCACATCCAAAAATCAAAAACACCTCCTGCGCCTTGCCAGCAGTAAATAGGAAGAGATTCGTCATCCTGTGCGTCCTGTCAGCAAGAGCTGTCCATGATTTGTGTCTTTTGATTAGAGACCAAGTGTAAGTAACAGCACCGCAGCTCTTTTATGAAGTGTTTGATCCCTGCCCACGGAGTTGTTGGATTTGAGCTCAAGAGAGCAGTCACGTTGGAAAGGCAGGACCACATCTGGCCTTTCCGGATGTGCAGACCCAGCCCGACAGTGCAAACGTGACATAGGAAAGACCAGGCTCGTGTCACATTTCCCATGCAGCTCTAAAATATAAGCTTAGTCTTCAGCAACAAGCCACTCCCGCTCCCTCTGTGCCCGTGTGCTGGGCCCAAAGGGTTAAAGAGCGCTGTTACCCAGCAAGGGGAAGGCCATCTCTGCCCCCTCGTCCACCACTGCTTTTTCTAGCGAGCTTATAAAATCCACTTAAAATATTAATATCGAGCTTGTCAGAACTGCACAGGCTAAAGGGCAATTTGAAAAGATTAATTCTCTATTAAAATCTCAGCCTTGATTTCATAACCTTAGAAAGCAGATTCCCTGAAACTCTCCTGGGCCGCGGCACAGCATCTCGCCAGCAAGTCTGGTTTGACAACGCCACGACCTGACAGAAGCCAGAATCTGACATACTTTAATTCTCAAAAAGGAGTAGCAGTAACGTGGGTTTGGGGAAGGAGGGAAAAGAGGTGGGAAATCCAGCCCTAACTGAACGGACTGGGAAGCTGCCACTATTTCACATTCCTTGTGACACGGTTTGCTACTGGCTCCACTGCCTGATGTGAGTAGTCTGAGAAAAAACTGGCCAGTGCCTTCCCAGACCACTGCTGACAAGGTGGCTCTTAATTTAAACTCTGCATACAGCCAGCATCCTTGCAGCCATTAAGAGGGCCTGCAATACTGAATACTCATGCTAGAAGAGGTATCAATTCATTATTTATTTCATCTCCATTTGATGCGAGTACACTGTTCAGCCTTTTTCAGTCCCTGTGCTGTGCCCAGCCCCTTCCTGCATGCCGGCAAGGTTTCAGTGCAGAGAGCTCCCTACACTCAAGGAGAAGATGCTCTGGGCTCTAGAGGCACATTATGCTGCTGCAAAGATGAATTCAAGCAAGCTGCTTTATTGGTGGCATTATGTGCAGGAGCACCGTGGCACATTCAATCCAGATCTTATCGACATCCACACACACAGGGAAAAAATTTTCTTCCTCAAAGAGGAGAGAAGTTCTAATAGGCATTTTTGTTCCAGGATAGATCTGCCAAATTATTGCACCTTGCAGCATAGCCGCCTTTGCCACTAGAAGAGCGAATTACTTCCTCCCCACTCCCATTTTCTCACAGATCCTGCACTGGGTTAACAGAAATTCATTTCTGAGCCAACCTGGTTAAACGGGTGCAAAAATCTCTATATGCACAACCTTGCATATGCTTCCATCATGCTCATATAAAGTGATTAGTGATACACCGACAAAAATCTGGTGTGTGGATGAAGTGAAATAGCTGGATGAGCCCATCACAACAGCTCCAGCGCAGCAGCTGTACCACACACACCAAATGTAGAGCAGCTCCCTACCACTGAAAGTCGAGGAACCGAGCAGGAGGAGGACACTGATTTCTCTGTGCCCCAGCATCCGGAATCAAAACCTCTCTCCTGGACTTGCTGCTGAACACCAGGTCCTGGAGCTGAGCGTGCTTAGGCCCACCAGGCTGCTCCAAGAGGGATGGAAAACTGCAAGGCCTGGGTTATCCGCACCGTAAACAGATCCCCAAGTGGCAGCACAGCTATAAACGGTGATGGTGCCATTAAGACTTTAATGGACATGTACTTGGCTCAGCCCTTTGCTAACTACGCAAATAATTTCTGTGGAGTGGAAGTGTAAGGATATAGATAAGAATCATATAAGTCTTATTTCTAGCTGTATTTACCAAGCCAGCTAAGAGGCTATCTAGAAAAGCAGATCCATTTACCCTCCATACTGGAAGTGTGTTGGGGACCCAAAGCACATCCTGGGGACGCAGAGCACCCCGCAGTACTGCATTTGGCATTACTCAGAGCTTCCCTAGGTCACCAAGCCCAAATGTCCAAAAATGTGCAAAAGCTCCCCAGATTAGGCCCAAAGAAGCAAATTTTCTACATCCGCACTGCAATGGCACAACAAGAGCTCTTGTTTGCTGAACACATGTAAAAAATACTGCTTTTCTTAATGTCTCTGAGCAAATTTATAAATCTGGCCTCAGAAGACCGCTTTGGAAAAATCAGGGCCCTTTGAACCAGGCAGTAATCTGCTCTCAGGTTCCCTGACACATGCTCAAGGTAACATCCATCTGTTGGAGCCTGCTGTGAGGGCTGGCTCCAGGCTTTATTCTCTCTGCACAAGTCAGGTTGTTGATTTGTAAAGCCGGTAAATAAAGACCCACCTACAGGCTTGCAGAGCTGCTGCATGGCTTAACCGTTTGTCAGGTCATAACGCTGGAGCCAGGATGGGCTAAGGAGACAAGAGAAATCCCTAGATGAGAGTCAGAGCTGAAAAGGTGATGACTGCCATGTTCATAATTAGCCTCTCTTGCCTTCAGAGCCTAAGGCAGATCCAAGGAGGGATGCAAATGCTCTGCGCAGAGCCAGCACCTCCAACAGGTTTGTGGCTGGTCACCAAGGCTCTCCAGCTCCGCCCAGCCACTTGGAGCAGTGAAAAGCGTGTGTTTAGTATACCTCTGGCAACAGGAGGTGATCCTCTTCCTTGCCAAATGGGAGCCCAGAGACTTCATTTAGACCTTTTGCACAAACCTATTTTGGAGGAGAGAGAAGAAAACCATCCCGCAATGAAATATGATCCTTGCTGTCTCAGGAATCTCTAGCCTTGAAGGACGCAGCACATCTGACCGAGCAACAGGCTTGAGGCTGCGTTTACACTCCTGCTGCTTCGGGGATTGCAGGTCTGGGGGTTTTCTACCTGTGCTCTAAAAAGATCTGAATCCCCATTGCTTCTTGCAGGTGAGGAAGCCCCAGGAGGTCCCAGCGACTCAGAGGCTTTCTGAGGTGACACGGCACACATCTGGGAACTAAGGAGCCCAGTGCTCTCTTGCTGCCCATTCCTGCCACGGTGGGAAAGGATCCCTGCTATCTCTCAGGAAGGCAATCTGATCGCATCAGGCTAATGGGAGCATGGGGTCTGTAAAACCTGTCTGCCAGGAAGGGCAGGGAGAGCCCATCCAGCCATGAGGGAGAGGAAGCGATGAGATGAATTCTTTCCATACCCTTTTACCCTCTACTACATATTATTAAACTGGTTCCACTCTGACTTCAAAAAACCAAAGACTTCTCTCTCCTTATCGCCCTCCAGAATCCCTGGAGGGATCCTGCTCAGGAAAAGGCAGGAAAAATGTAGGGGTGACAAACTTATGGGGGCTTTACTGCACTGAAAGGTAGTGGGCCAAATTACTCTGTTGCCTTCATAAAGTGAGGAGATGACTAGCAATACTCCTGCCTTGACTCTTTCCTGTTTTAACCACCATGTAACAACCCAGGGCATCTTAGAAAAAGCGCTGTAGAGTCAGCTTCACTATCAAGAATCTTTTTACACCTCTCATATCCGTGGTTCCCTGACAACCAGGCCAGAATTTCAGATCCAGCTGTAAAGTTATATTTCCTCTAAAGCCAGCCCATTATCCCCTGCTACCTCTCTTTTCCGTGCAGACGGAGCAGCGCACGAGGCAGGAGGTTTGCAGGGAAACCAGGAGTTCCAGAGCGTAACCCTGAACAGATGGCAGCTCTAGCCGTGCTGCCTCAGAAGGGCACTTTTAAAAGTAAATAGCAACAAATGTTTTGGTGTGCAATGCATTGAAATCTTGATCTCACACAGAGCTTATTTTCTTGTTCTTTTTTCTTTTTTTTTCTCCCAGCAGTGGCAACTGGCTGAGGACAAATGTTGCTGAAAAGAAAGAAGAAGAAAAAACTGAATCAATTAAATGTTTTAGAAACAATTGTGTTTCAAAATCAAGAAGAAGAATTCATGAAAATCAATCCTAATTCAAGAGGGCTGTACTGATTTGTTCATCTTTCCCTTTCCCTGCCTAAGCAACCAAAGCAATACAAATGATAGCTCCGTCTCAGGCAAGGAAGCAGCAATTGAAACTTCAAAAACGTTCTACATTGGCTGATGATGCTTGATGCAGTCTCCATGGCCTGAAAGCTAAATATTCTGCAAGAGAAGCAATGTACTAGGTGGCTGAGTGGGAGTTTCAGCTAACTGCTACCCCTTCGAGTTCCTTCTCTCAACAAAGCCAGGTAAACCCCTTGCCCTGGGAAAGAGCAAAATTATTTGCATCAGCAAAGGCCCTAGCCAGACGGGAGCTGCCTCCGTTGCTCTCTGCCCATAAGAACCAGCTCTGCTCTTAACATGCTGCCTACCCAGTGCTGTCTCTACAGGGACCTCAGCAGGGCAAATTTTCTGGCAAGGGCAACTAGGGCTTGTAAAGCAAATCCTACTAAGCCTTCCTGAACTGTCACATCCGCAAGAACACAATCTTCAGTGTGCTACAAAGTTCCTGATATCGGCAGCTCCTGATATCATCACACCAAGTTGTCCCAGAGGACAGAATTCTCGGGAAAAGCATGGTGCTGCTTCGAGTGACAGAGCGGATTCGATAAGCAGCCTAGTCCCAGCCCCAAGGAGAAATCGTCTCCCAGGAGCTGCCACTTTTCAGGATGTGACCCTGCCAGAGTGCGGCAATATTGCCAGGATAAATGACATTTGAAGGGTCTCCCTGGAATTTCCCATTCGAACACGGGTAGGGGGATGTGTCCCCTCCACCAGGATTTGCCATGCTTCAAGCTGCCCTGAAGTCAGGTGAATGTGATTCCTGCAACACCGAGCCTTGTGCAAATAACCCGTGTCTAAGTCTGCTCAGATGACTTCCCAGCAGCGCAGAAAGCAAGCACGGGAGTGGGGCACCGGCACCTGCAGGCTGCCGTCATCTTGCCTTGGCATCACTGACAACGAGTGCCGAGTTTCACCTTGAAGCAGGCAAGCTCAGGCTGAAGGGTAGGTTTAAAGGTATTCAGAAGATAAAAGCTTGCTAAGTAGCAAGGACGTACACCTATAGGAGGGTTCCTGCTTAACAGCCAGCTGCAGCACCCTGTGTCACTGTGTAACGACAGATGAAACAATAACTCCCAGTGGAGGTTTTTTACCTGTGAGTTGTGGCCTGTCTCAGCTTTGCCGAGAGAAGGATACGACCAGCTGGGCAGGTTTCACACTCAAGCCTGAGAATTTTTCCCTCATGCTCTCTAAAGAGGAGCAGGAATTTGAACCTGGAAGCAGATCTGGAAATGGCAGTGTGGGCTGAAATGAGGAAGGGCAGTTAGGAGAGAAGGAAACAACTGAAGAAAAAGCATAGCAGGAGGAAAAGAGGAAATGTGAAACATGATCTGGAGAAGGATTTAAGACATGCAAGATTTGCACAGGTTAAGATTGTCTTCAGATTGTTTTTTTGCCGTAATCTCTATAAAGTAATGAATTTTGTTAGACTTCATCTGCCCCATACAATCACAAATGTTATTAGGAGACACTCCATCCTTCCTGCGAATCTAATGGAACCAAAAGGATTTTTTGAGGGAGCCAATAGGGACCCACATGTCCTACATTTAAGAATTCAGTGACCTGCTCTGCTCTTTCCAGTAATGTACTTGTATTATTGCATCTTTAGCAAATCCTTCTTTCAGGACCTAGTAGGTATTTCTCTGTAGCATTGAAACAGGATTTCAGGAGCCTTTTTCGAGGTGGCACCCAGGATTTGGGCTTCTCATCGCGACCCTCCTAGCAGTAACTTACAGCTTAAGGCCCTGGCCAGAACTGTGCTCCCCGTTCCACCTCTCCTCCCATGGAGAAGGGGCAGTCATGGCACCATCCCAGCGTGGGGACTCCCCCAGGAGCCAGTACAGTAAACAGAGGAAAGAAAAGTCAGGAGCAGAGAGAATTACTGAGGATCATTTCAAGCCAGGTTAGATAGACCTCCAAATGAATCCACAGCTGTCGTGTCTGCTAATTTAACCTTATACATGCTCTGTTAGGTTCTCTTTCTTGTCTTTTATTTCATAGGAAGACACATTACAATTTCCCTGTGGCTCAGTAGAGGTCAGGAGCCAAGAATGAGAGATAAGACTGAAGTTCATACAAGGACAGAGAGAGACTAGCCACAGATTTATGCTCTGCTAGCCTCTCCCTGGACCAGTCCAGCTACACAAGCTCACTGTGTTCATATCACTGTCAGTGCTGACGTCACCCAGCAACCAACAAGGACGTTCATTCACCAAAAAAGGTGTAAGAAGGTGCCTAATGGTGCAATTAATGGATGCATCTTCTCTCCTGTGAGCTGTTGGCCTTGCCGAAAAATGGAATAGAGCAGATGCTTAATAACTCGGTGTAGTTTTCCCCAACAGCTTAGGAGAGGAAGAAAAGAACATGAGATTCCAAGAAAATTTCAGGGAGGGAGAGAGAAAGGGGTGGCCAGCTTAATACTCATGTGAACTACCTAGGCAGGCTGCCAGAGATCCCACCTAGTCATCAAAAGATCCTGGACTCAGGAGCTCTGTAGGGAGATCAAGGAATTCTTGTAGCGCATTTGTAAAACGCTTCAGCCACAGAACAAACATTTTCAACCAAAGCTGGGATCTTCTAGTCCAGACAGCAGTCAAATATATCTTGAATAAGCTGGATTGCTTCAGCAGCCTGTGGCCATGTTATAATTATGCATTTTTCCACCTCTTAAGTCACTAATAGAGAACCTTCTTGAGGTGGCCAGACACTAAGTGTCTGCCACCACTGAAATCAAGGGGCATTTCACTGCTGACTTTGGCGAAGAGGCTGCCAGCTGCACTCAGCCAGTGAGATGGACTCCTCCTGGTAGGTTTTACAGCTTTTTCTAGACATTGTCAAACTCTGTACGCAAGAATGGCTGTGCCGGGCCAGACTGATGGTCTGCCTAGCCCAGAGGCTGCGGGCAGGAGAGTGTACGAGCAAGGCATGCATACAGCAACCCTTTCCCTTCGAACTCGCAGCTCCAGCCTGTGAAGTGGGGACATCTCAAGCCAGAGGCAGGATCTTTGTGTATTTAATAACCCTTGATGGACTTTTTTTCCACAAATTTTTCTAACTGTTTTGTGAGCTTGGATCAGTTTTAGCATCCAACCAATATTTTGAGGTAAACTCTTTGCATTGATACTCCAAAAACAGTGCTTGCTTGGGGCACTGTTTCATTCTCGATTGAGATGAAGTTTCCCCCAATATGACCTTCTCAGAATAACGCTGCCTGTTTAGCATGTGTATAATTTGTTCTCCTCCATTCCCTTCCAGTCAAAGCAAGTCCTTGGTTTACAGCATTGTGAGGGATGCTCATGAACACTAACTTTAGCCAAGGACAGGCAGTTTCTATAGGCTCTCTTCACAATCAAAGGTGAGAGATGATTCCCATTATTCATCCTCTGCTGGAGGAGCACCTCTCTTTTTCCACATTGATTATAGCCTCAGTCAGCTAAAGCTAGCCTTCGTGAATCGCATCAGTACTTACAATCAGGAAGCATTGCATGACACTGAAATACAACTTGGAAAAGCAGATGCTTATATATATATTTCTAATAGAAGAACAATGTGATGATTCCACACAAAATATACAGAAAGGTTTTTGTGGGGGAAAACGGTAGGAACTGAATTTAACTGAAGGTATAATTGTACTTGGAGTGAGTTTCTGTCAGCTGTAAAGTAAGTATACATTCATATTTTTAGGGACTAAATTAGTATTCCTCAGCAAGATCACTCATCAGGACTACTTGTGTGAATGAGAGCTGCAAGGTTTCTGGATAGCATTTATATAAAAACAGGAATGTTCCTGAAGTGCTGTAAATGGAGCTGCTTAAACTGTATGCCCAGATCTTGCATCTGATGACAGTAGCTGAATGAAATGACACTTCTTGCAATCAGTTGCATGTTTGAGCTTGAATGTTTAATACAGAAGGTTAAACTTGGTTTCATCAAGCCCAAGCAAAGACTGATTTTTCCACACAGAGAACTCATGACTACGCCTCTAACCAGCCTTCCTGGATCATGGCTTTTTTTTTTTTCATTCCTAATAAATCACCATCCTTGATATCAAGGAAATAGGAATGGCATAGGACCAATATGGCCTTTGTCCACCTTACGTCCCAAGACAAGGCCAGCTACACTGTCTCATTCCTGGCACTCTCTCACCGCGGCCTTAAGAACCACATCGTATAGCTTCAGCGTCACTGCTTTTCAAGGTTACCAGTTCACTTGCTGAATCATTCGTGTTATTATACATTTCTTACCGCAGAATGTCGATGGAAATAGGCTTCTTTCCACTTCTAGTTCTGTCCCATTTAGGTTCTCATATCACCACCGCAGCACGAACGCTTTGATCACAAAGGATGCTTAGTTCTTATCCTCTCCATGGCATCATACAAGCAGGAATTGGATCGGATGAAGGAGCAGAAAATAGTGCAGCTTTATGTAAACCTGTCCCCAACAATGAAAATAACCCAGTGATCAGCAGTAAAACAGTCAATTATTCAGCTTCTGATTTTTCTTTTTTTTTTTTTTTGGCTTCCAAGCTTTTCTCTTTATCTGCTATGTGTCCCTAAATTACTAGAAAAAGGAAAACACTGACTCAGAAAACTTTTCTTAGGGTTGGGAGTTAATAGTCACTGCAGAAAAAGGAGAGAAGTTCACACCTCATTAAGGGTTATTGACAAGTTCTTTCTCACTTTGAGACTCTGTAACTGGGGGCTTTCTGTAGACTTAGCTAATGCCAGATCTCAGGCCACACCTGAATTTTCTTTCCACAATAAGAAGTAGCAGAAACTTTCAATTTTATATGAAAAGCTTAATTCTGCAGAAACTGATTCTGGTCCTTGGGAAATCGGTGGTGTGAGCCACAGCACTTAGCAAATTCCACTGCGGTGTCAAGGGCCTGGTGGACAGACCCTTCATCTCCTCCAAGGGCTCCCCCAGCCCAGGTACATGCAACTCTCATCAGCTTCCGCAACAGATCTGCTATCCGCTAGTACTATCTGCTAGTAACATGTGTTACTTTCCTCTGAACATACCCCAGTTGCTTTGTTCTCCTCCCTCAGCCGGAAGACTGCTTTGTGTATCAGTACCCCCAATAGGAAGACAACCGGTGGTAGCTACAGCTATGCCCAGTTTCATGGAGTTTCTTCCATTTGGACTACAGGGTGTTAGTAAGTGTGGACTAGAATTTATTTTTATTTTATTGGGGTGTGGGGTAGATGTAAAGGGAGAGTAGTTATCATTGTCCATTTGGTTAGGCTTGAAAAACTAACAACAAATAAAGGCTTTTCAGCATCTTTCTAAACCTGATTAGATTGTGGATTTGTCTACCTTCTTGACTGTAGGCATTTTACAGGTCATATTCTTATGCGGACATCATTTGTCTTTCTTGTATTAATAGCTCATTCCTGTTCTGAGTCCAACTTTCCACATGTTACCTCCATCCCATCCCGTCTCTTTCTTTAATATTGGTCTGCACTTTCTGCGTCACTAGCCAAATCCTGAGGTGCCTCCTCACCTGGTTTGCCTAAGTAGAACATATTTGTGTGGTACGGAGTAAGCATGAAGTAAGGGTATTTGCAATTTGACCTAGTATCTGTGCATTTCATTAATCCTGCCTCCATCAACCACTTAACCTTTATGGGCATTCTTGTTGCCTCTCATTGTATTGATTTCAGTCCATTTCTCCAATTTAGTGAGATCATGCAGTATTTTAAACCTGTCTTCCACCGTATAACTAGGTTTAGCTGGGGGGTAATTGACATCAATTTAAAGAATGAAAAATTAGGCTGACTATCCAAGGGAAACTTCCTAATGGTGAGATCTGCTAGAATGCATTGCTGTCTCTCCATGGGATTGGTGGCAGTTCCATTAACGTGCATTAAAACCTTACTGAAGAAGTATAAGATGGCAGATCGTAGAGAACAATCCTGAAGCAGGAGGGGAAAGACAAGTTGAAAAGGATTGTAGCTTGCCTCCTATGGTCATCGTATCCTGGATTTACCCCTCTCCCTCTTCACACCACCCACCAGTTCACAGAGGCTATGCCGAACCAACAATAGCAACTAATTCCAGGGACGGGATCCAGCATGATGCTCCCTCCCAATATTATTGCAACTTCATTTCTGGTGGTGGGAGCATTGTGGTAGCTGTGGGAGTTTAAGCCAAAGATACTCAATTCGTTTTTACTGAGGATAGTTCTCCCAGCCAGTTTTACTACCTCCTGGCAAGCTGGGAGGCATGTGCTGGCTAAATCCCGAAAACACACGCTGCCTTCACGGCCAGGATCTGTGGCAGGGGTTTGCAACTGCTCCCCAAGGACTTGTCCAGACTGTGAGACCTAGAAGGGCTTCCTAAGTCCTGGGTCTCAATAAACTCCTTGTCTTCCCCCGCATCACACTGTCTGCTATGTTTCCCTTAGAAAGAAAACAAGCTGTCTACGTTAGAAGGAAGTCAGAGCACTCTACAAATCCCTGAGCTGGTAGTCTGGAACTTGGGACGGTGAGGTGTGCTTTAGAGCACATCTCTCCCACCATTTGGACACAGCCAGGAGAATTATGAGAGATATCTCATCACCCATAGGAACACCACACCCCGGAGATCATAAGATGACAATATACCTAGTAACTTTACTTTGGCACTAAACGTTTCAAACGCATCCATCAATTCTGTTAACGTTATCCCATCCTTCACTTCTTAAAGAAATGATTATCTAATTATTTTTTCCTAGCAGAATGGTTGAAAGCAGATTGTGAAGAGGAGACTGTTCTTGCTAAAGCACAGATTACAAATACAGGAGAATGAGGGTTTTCGTTTAAAATATGCTGTTTGTTCTTATGCTTGTAAAGATAATAGTCCAAGCAGAAACAAGCACTGTCCTTCGTGTACTTTGAGTGATATAGTTTAACTGCAGGATCGGCCAGAAAAAAGTCGTCCCCCCCCAACTACCTGTCATGAAAAATATCTTGCATATTTAAGAAAATAAGACAATTTTCTCTGAAGTTGTTAATGAAACCAACTACTTTTCATTAAAAAAGAAATCCCGCCAGTCCCTGGAAACATTATTTTCAGCCACAAAACCCAACGTATTAACCTCAAAGGCCAAGTAGACTGCTACATTTTTTCATTGCTTAGTAGGAGAGGCAGGCTGTTTTTCAGGTTCTTGAAATCCATCTGCCATGAAAACACAATTTGTAAAAAAATGAAATTTCCTTCTAAGAAAAATTCAAATGAAACTTTCCCATCACCACCACTCAATTAGCAGTGACATAAAACCTGTAAAACTTGGCTCAGAAACGGCTCACTTTCACAGCTGCTCCCCTGAATCTGAGAGCAGAGACACCAAGGAGAAGATCTGCCCATTTTGGGTTGTCCCTTAAGAAAGAGATTAGCAGACGCTTACATAGCGATTGGGACTGCACATGGGAGAAAAGGCCTAGTGTGGACCCCCCCCACTAGTCACGCAGAAGTGAAATCATTTTCTCCGTGGCAGGAGGCACGGGCTACAAATTTGCCAGATAACGAGTAGCCAGAGGCTGATACGAAAGACAAATTCTCTTAGTGAAATCTTTGGGGAATATCCCAATACGACTCCTATGCTGGCAAATTGGTGGAGAAGTTGGCAAGTAAAACGTAGCCATCTCATGAGGACGCTGCGTCTCGATTTTTTGTTTGTGCTTTTTTTTTAACTGCAATTTTCATAAATCCCTCTGGCTAGTACCGTCAAAATGAAACTTACCAATTGAAATTCTGATCCCATTGATTTTACACAAGGGATTTGCATGGGTATGAAAGAGCAGGAACTGCTCTGCAATCAGTCACGTCTCCATTTACTCCCAACCAAAGACATGTGGTAGATTTGCTTTTCCATGTACGTACTTGTCATCTCATTCCCACGAGCTTCCAGATATAAATTACCCAAAATTCAGATATACAGCACCTATTAGCTCACAAATGAGCAGTAAATACTATTGCTCCCTGAATGCACTGACATTATTTATGAGTTACCTTTTGCCCTCTTTTTTCCCCATTTCTACCTTCTATCTCTTTTTTTACCCCTTTAACCACATGCCATATTTTTTTCCCTTCCTTTCAGGGGAGGGAAAATGAAAAAAAAAAAAAAAGATTCTGGAAGGAAAGTGTGATGGGAAGCAGTGCTGGGAGGACATGATGATGTTTGCCTGGAAGGAAAGTGTCAGGGAAGCTGTGCTTAACATACTGGAAGTGCTATTAGAAATGGTATTGCTAGCCCTAAAGGAAGGGTCTGTAGATATAGCAGTAGCACAGCTCAAGACAGCAGGATGTAAGAAGAGCTCAGAAGAGGCAGTGGGCCAAGGCCCGAACTGGAAGATCAACAGTGCGTGAGCGTACAATCTCTACCACCCAAAATAAGAAATGGCAAACCACTCCCTTCCCCGAGCCGCTCGCTGTGAGACAGCCCGGGGGAAGTCTGGACCTGGGATTTCCTGAAGGCCTGTTCACTAAACAGAGTAATGCTGGTATTAAGCCTGTTGTATCCTTTCTTC